CCAATATCTATCCACACATAGTCAATGCTCCAGCCTGCCATGGGAAGAGGCAGCCACTACAATAGACCTTTGTTGAGCCCAGGATTCAAGCAAGCACTTTAGGAAAAATCTGTATTTAAGGTTTCTGTCCTACCACCCCACACTTTCTCCTCAATTGCTGAAGAGAATATGTTTTCTGAGCATGAAACAATATCATTTTTGTGGGGAGTTTGGAAAGCGAGCGCTTGTATGAATCGAAGAAAAGCTTCCTTTCTGTGGCCTGTGCGGGGCTGGGCTGGGGAAAGGGCTTTCTGTGTGAGTAATCTTTCAAAGTAGGAAGCAGAGCTCCCCCATTGCTCGGGAAGAATGGACCTCCAGTGGGCTAATATGTGATGGATGACTGAATGCAAACTTGGCAGCGTTGCCCTCCGCTCCCCAAAGAATACAAAATGCCACTGCCTATTCGGGCACCGGGACTCTCCCCTTGGAAGTGCTGAAAACTTGGCACCATCCCACCTTGGTTTAATTGAAACTGCAGACAATTAAGGATGGGAGCTTGGAGAAATTTCTTGCGACCAGATCAGCTCAGGATGGATTTGTCTTGGGTGATTGGCTCATGCATAAGCCAAACAAGGACATAAATGGGGAGTTATTTCCCACTGACTCCACAGCCTGAGCAGCAAAATCTCACATTTGTTTAGGAGGGGTGTGTTGGGAGGTATACCTTATATTAAGATGTATTATTCAAATTCTACATCTGGATATGCTCTCTGAAGCTATAGGTGGAGGTTTTCTGATGCTATTTGGTCAGCAACAGAACAGGCACCATATAGGAGAGAGAAATGATGCATTTAGAAATCCAGAAAAATCTTACATTAAGGACAATTCTCATTATAAGGGCACATCCATCATTCATTCAAAGCTGAAAAGTAACACAAAATCATTCAAACTTTGTCATTTTAGCAGAAGGATCCCCATCTATTCCTCTTTTCAATGCCCAGACACTTCCTGCAGGCTCCAGAGCCACCTCTTCTCAGGCAGGATCCCACTGACTCCTCCTCCCAATCTGCCCATTCCACACCACGGAGTTACATCATGCACTCAGGGATTTCAGGGGCTGGAACCATGCCCAGTCTCTGACTTTTCCCACATGTGGAAGGCTTTTAACTCCAGCTCTGACTAGCCAGAGGGTCAGACGCACGAGTGGACAGCGGGCACTGAGGGAGAGGAGATTTCACACTTGTAGAAACCCTGAGCTTGGTGGAAACTGCAACAACTCAAGATTGTCCCTCAGAGTTCTTAATTTCTCTGCTTTCCAGCAGTCCCCTTCCTCAAAGAACTTATTTCCTTTTTCTCTTTACTATGCAAATAATTTTTTGGGGAGTAGCTAATAATAGGAATTGCAGGTTCTCTGTGGCAGAAAGCATAATTTATTAAACCTCTTCACTCCTCATACAGTGAGGCTCTAAAATGCTGGAGCAATTATTACAACATCAACAAAGTAAAGACATGGACAACAAGTCTTCTTTAATATCAAGCAGTTTAATGAACTAAATTGCATCTTAAAAACTCATAAGCAATCTGTACACATTCATAATTTTGAGCTCATGACCTCAGATTATTGTGTTTCCTGTCCAGAACTCATTAGTTACTAATCCTATAATTGCTTGCAGTTTTGAAGATTTCTGAGCCTGGTAGATGACAAAATATTAACTTATTTCACTTTGATTCCTGTCTTCCTTAGTTTCCCACTTCAGCAACAATGATTTTTTTCTGCAATATGACATCAGCAGCTTCCTTAAACCACTAAGGGCAGCAGCTATTACATTTTACAGTAGTTTCAGTCTGCAGTTTGTAACCACAGGGTTAGATCAGAGCTCAGTCTTTGAGCAGGGTGTGCTAAACTCACACCAGTAATTAAGTCTGAGAAAGCACACGTTGGTAAATCAGAGCCCAGTTTCAAAGCCCTGTATCTCAAACTGACACAGTTCAAAACAAGTTCCTTTTATTATTGGAAAGCTGAGATTTCGAACTTTCCAGGGATGTAAATCATCCACTCCTAAGCCTGGAATTTTATGAGCCACTAGACCTTAAAACTGTCAGTGGCCCTTCAGCTTAGCAGACTGTGATGGCACGAGGCCAAGGAGGAATTTATCAAGTCACAGGCTTCAAATTAGAGTAATTATTTAAGTACTGTGGATTTCTCCTGCCACAGAGGTAGGACAGGTGGATGTGTAGCTGATAACCAAGCAGACACCACACTCTGCATTAATCTTCCTTCCAAAGGTAATATTCCTCCAGGACACCAGGGATACAGGACTGGATGGGAACTGTTTCTCCCTCACATCTACTTGCACCACACACCCACTGTCTAACCCAGGACAATTAAATGCCATCAGCACCACTTAAACCTCCAGACACAACCTCCAAGGCTGGGTAGACAGAAGCACTGTGGTGTTGTACCAGGAAAGCAACACAGAACTGGCCAAGCTGGTTTTCCAAATTGTTTTGCCGGGGGGACGAAAGGGTTAAAGCTCTGGCTCCAAAGCAGCATCACTGTTTCACAGACACTTCTGCTTTTTAGTTCTGCCTGACTCTTGAAAAGGATGAGAGTCCCAAAATGCACAGACCCTGCCATTTAATCTCATTTTCTTATCAAAAAGTGAGACAATGCTCAAGAACAAACTTTGACAGTCTCTTTATAGCAAGACAGAACATCTTCACCATGAATAGTCTTTGGCTTTTTTTAGATATTTTATAAAAAGCACTAATATCACTAATATGAGGAAAAGCTGAATGTCAAATACCTTTAGAAATGATGTTAGAGCAACATGATAGTTAAGTTTGAGTGAATACTGAGGAGAAATGATTCAGTTTTAAAGAGCTGGGATAATAAAAGAGGATGCCTTTCAAAAAATCTCCAGCTAACAGTTACTCAGAGTTTGTGGAGCACATTTTAGCCTGTGTTTAAGGATTTTCCCAGAAAGTTCTAACACCATTAAGCATCACTATTTCAACAGGAGATTTGGGTCTGGTTGTTTGTCTTTTCCATGTGCCCATGACCACTGTCAGTGATTTCTGTAGCAGAACTGCTTTCTCTCCAGATGAGACCTGACATTCTCATCTGCAGGCTGGGGGCTTTGCAGCAGATCCTTTGGCTCTTCCAGGGCTCTGGAAACACTGATAAAGTAACTGTAGTGACAGGATTAAGGGCTGGGACTTGCAAAGAAATTTCTCTGGGCTGAAAGGAGCCAGAAGATAAAATTAATAAGCAGAAAATATGGGAAGTGAATAGCAGTTTGGTATTTGGGAGAGTGAGTGTGACTGGGTCAGTGATGGGAGGCACAGCCCTTGTCACTCCTGTCCCATCGCTCTGCTCAGCCCAGGAGCAAATCCTTTCCTGGGCACGGGGCAGCACCTGCACTGGGAACACCCTGACAGCTCTTCCTGCTGCTCCCCAAATTCCCTGCCAGGGAAGCTGAGCTGCAGACAGACCAGTTATCTTTTGGCTAAGCACTTTCACCTGGTCAAACTTATTCAGATTCAATTTGCCCCTGCGTTCCCAACAACCCAAAGCCATTGCATTTCTGCAAATTTCCCTAGGATTCAAAGGATGGTCCCTAATCCCCATTGTCCACCTCATTTTTGGACTCCAGCACCCCTAAACTGAACAACCTGGTCTAGTGGTGGTCCTGCCCATGGCTGGACCTTGATGATCTCCAAGGTCCCTTTCAACCCAAACCATTCCATGATTTCACAGCTTTAAAAGGCAAATGCACAAACCCAGCACAATTAAACAACCCCCACATGTCACATGAATCAGAAAGTGTGTAAAATGAATTCCCAATATGTAATATGGTCTTAAAAAATTACACCAGGAGAGAAAACCAAATGAAACAGCTGGACAGCAAGGCTTTTACTCAGACCATAGAATCACTTCTACCTCATTGTCTTCTGTTTTCTCATGAGGAAAAACTTTTATAAATGTTTTTATTGTGCTTTTTAATTTTATATTTCCACTGTGCAGCACAACACATCACCATCATTTCAGTCTGAATATTCCTTTCCATAGTATGAGACAGACTTTTCAGAAGTTCAGATTAACTGCCAAAAACTCTCTGTCCTGGTAGCCAGACAGAAAATCAGGCAGGAAAAACTCTGCAAAGGTGATGTAACACAAAGTCTTGAGTGAGTGAGTTTAGCTCCTAAATGAATCTAAGTGTGTTCACCTTCTCCCAGCCAGCTTCTCCTTTTTAAGCCAATTTGAGCCTCGCTGGTAAGTGCAGACACAGTCATGCAGAAAATCTCAGTGCACCAGGGAGCAAGGAGCTGAGACATGGAGCAAGTGCCTCTGTTTTTCCATGAGGATGGAGAATTTCACCCTCCCGCTCCCAGAACCCACCCAGCAAAGCAGGAGTAATAAAATACCAGTTGAATCTTCCTTTGTGCTTTGCTCCCCACTGCAGGCTAATATTACCAGACTTTTAAAAGAAACTGGAGCCCAGTGGGAGCAGGGAGGAAGGTGACAAAGGCTTTGGTGCAAAATAAAAAAAATGTGGGGACAGCAAATGACCAGCAGGAAGGGCCTGGCTCTCATCAGGTCACAGACAGGAGCACAAGAAGAGTTGTGCTTGGGAGGGTTAAAACCTGCGAGTGGATTTAGTCTGGTTCTCGAGGTGAGGCTGGGGGAAACATGTACAGCACTCCAGGAGCCAAGAGGAAATCCCAAATCTGCTTTCCTACCCTGCCTGTCAATCTGGGCTCTGTGTGGATGTCCAGCACCCAGCCAGCTCCTGCTCCATTCATTCACTGGGTCGGGTGGATGTCATCGAGACATTTCTGACATTATTGCACTGGACAATGCAGACAGACTTTGAGGCAGGCATGCTCCAATCCCAGATGATTCCCTAACAGCATCCCTGACCATTGACCTGGCAGTCACAGCCACGAGGGCAATGCCCGGGGTCACTGCAAACTTGTGTGCGAGAGGACTTCTTAATTCAGGGAGGAAGCAGACTTACCTTAGAGACTCTGACAGAGCTTAGATCCCGCTGTGAGCAGCCTCCATGAAATAAATACGGTGTTCAAAGCCAGCTGGGCTCTCCTGACTCAGTTGCCGTCCTGTCAAAACTCGGCGAAGTTGCGTTGTCCGGTGCCGTGTGCGAGCGCAAGGCAGCAAGCTTTGACAGCAAGGCAAACTGGTCAGAGCAGCCAGATTCTGCTGGGTTTATATAGCTGAGCTGCAAATCCTGATCCTTGGCTCGTTCCACTGTAATAGGATGCCTGAAGGCATTTTTTTTTTTCAGTTTTGCTTTAAAGGAACAGCCTCTCTCTCTCTCTCTCTCTCTCTCTCTGGCGTGGCTTCTGAAAGGCGCGCACACACTCACACACTCACGCTGTCATCCACAGGCACACAGACACAAAAAATTTGCATGCAATTTATGGCTAAAGAAGGAAACCCCCTGAACCATTCAAAAAGAAAGTCAGCTCAGGGCAAATGACTCAGAAAGCAGAATAGTTTCCCTACAGCATCAGTGGAGTGCATTATCAGGAGTTTTAATCCCCTCACCCCCATTATTTGAACGTTGTGAAATAGCAGTAAGCTTACGTGAAATCAGGGGAATGACAAGCAGGGTTTAAATTCTAGGGACTCCTACAGAAATTAATGGGTTTAATGTCAGTGCAAAGAGACCCCCACTCCACTGGAATCAACTGCAAAATTCAGATTTACACAAACAGAGGATCTGGCATATTCCCATTTTTTCAAGCTGTGATCTCTTTTTCATCCTTTTGCCCTCCTGCTCTGAAGAGCTGGAGGCAGAAGCGTGGGGAAATTCATGAGAAAAGTGAGCAGAGTAGTTGCCTGAGTCTTTGTAAAAAAAAAAAAAAAAAAAAAAAAAAAAAGAAAAAAAGAAACCCAAAAACCCAAACTAAAATAGGCGAGATAAAAGCCCAAAAAGCACAACACAGGAGGGATTCCCTTTCTCTCAGATCAGATAAAAAGAGATTACGTGGCTGTCTGTGTGTACAGATAACCCAAGCACTTCTGTGAGGCTCAGGGCTTCCCTGCTTCCCAACCCGGAGCTATCAGTGACACGCTCAGCTGGGACCTTTCCAGGGCTCTTTGTTGTCTCTGAGTACCCTGGAACCTGAGGCTGGTGGCAAAAAAAAGAGAAGATCACAGTTAAAGAATTCTCATTAATACGGATTTCCCTCCCCCTAACACTAAAATCCTCTACCCCAGCCCGCTGTGCTCTGGGTTTCTGTTTCCCTTGGGTTCTGCTGTTGGGAAGGTGGTGGCAGAGGAGGAAAGAGGAAGATTAATCTTGAACTTTCAGGTCTGTCTTCCAGGATGAAAGATAAATCACTCTTCTGTTGGATGGTTTAGAAAGTAAGACTTACCCAAACATGTCTGAGGGCCATGAAAACACAAACCTCAGCTCCTGGGATCCTCCTCAGGAACGAAGATGCCCATAAGGATAAAACTTGATTGCCTGGGAATTTTGGGTGATATTCCTCTCTGAACACATTACCTCCTAGCTGGCCTTTCCCTGGCTCCACGGGCACATCACTCTGTGAGGGAAGGGTGTGAATCTGTGTCAGGCTCAGGCTGGAGCTCAGGGCAAGGTTCTTCCCCCAGAGGGTGCTGGCACTGCCCAGGCTCCCCAGGGAATGGGCACGGCCCCGAGGCTGCCAGAGCTCCAGGAGCCTTTGGACAGCGCTGCCAGGGATGCCCAGGGTGGGCTTGGTGGGGGTCTGGGCAGGGACAGGGGCTGGGCTGGGTGATCTTTGGGGTCCCTCCCAGCTCAGGATATTCTGTGATTGTGTGGTTCAGGATTTTTTCCCTTTTGCTCCTCCACAGCACTACCAATCAGCACTACGTTTAGAAAAGGAAGGGGGAATCCCTGATGCTGAAATTCTGACTGTTTTAGGAGACCATAAAATGCAGAGCTTTTTTTCCCACTTAACTACTTAAATTTTCCTTGCTGTGGCTTTCCTGTACAACATTGACCTCCTGTGTGCCTCCTCTTATGTCTGATTATATCACTGAGCTCACCCCAAGCTCCCCATGCACAACATAAATTTTAGTCTTTTCCAAATATCAACACCTATTTTCAATTTCTGCATTAATTTTGTGAAATGCTGTGTTTCATAACAGTCATGCCCTCAGAGAAGAAATGAGCCTGTGATGAAAGGAGGGTCAGAAATGTTACTTAATTCCTGCTAAAGGCATTGAACCCTCCTTGAGCACTGATTTCTTAGAAGAACATCTTGTTCTGGGCATCTCCCCCAACCCCAAAGGCAGTGGGGTTGCTGAATACAGTCATCAGCAGATCTCCAGTTTTTGTGTGTAATTCTCAGAATCTTCTCCAGCTGGTCCTGCAGCCAGCCTGGGCCAGCTCTGCTTCAAATCAGGGTGTGAAATAACCATGAGCTTGTTTGATCCTTCACTTCAGAGCTGGACTCAATCCTTGTGTGTCCCCACCAGCCCAGAATATTCTGTGATTTAAAGATTATTTCTAATTCAATTAAGTGTGTACTCAAGACCAAAACCTGCATGGAAGATGTGACAAAATTTTTCCAGTAAAATCAGAATGGGACTCAGGAAATGACAGTTCTCCATACAATGAACCATTTCCTGTCTCTTATTTGAGTAGTTCTTTCACAAAACACTTTATTTCCCTGTCCATACACACAGGTTCTATACAAGATAAAGTCAAACTGAGGATAGAAACTTGTGGAATTTATTTTGGGAGCATTTGCTAATGCCATTTTTTCCATCAACAGCTGCTAATCAAAAGTTGAACTAATTTTTTCTCCAATAATTCACCACCCACTTACCTGACTTAAAAAAAAAAAAAAATGCTATGGCAGATAAGTTCCAGGTAAGAGTTCAGGCTTGTTCTTGTTTTATCTTTTTTGGGCTCACCCATCCTTAATCACAGTCTGTGGCAAACTTTGAACCATCGGCTGAGTCAGAAACAAATGATAACATGAAAGAACAGGGAAAATGTATTTTAATCAGAAAGTTAGCTCCAGGTTGTGATCTCTAACAAGCAGGACCAGCACTGGATTCTGTGCCCTGCGGTGCCCTCTTTCATTAGATGAATGTGGATAGAAATTGATTTTTTTTTTAAATGAAAGGAACAGAGAGAAATTAAATGAACACTGAGCTGAATATGCTGCAGTTTGTTGCTGTGGTTTTATGGGCTTGCAAGTCAGTGTTAGAGATGAAATTCAAAGATCTATGGAAATTCATAAATTAAAAACAAATATAGGAATAGTTTGATATTTATGAAAGCCTAAAAGAGAGCAACTAATTGTTTGAGAAAATATTAGTAAAATGCAAATAACCTCCTCATTATTACCTTGGGACAAAATTGTTACAACACAGGTAATTTACAGGTAAATTACACAGATTTACTTCCAATTTAATACCTCTGCTAGTTCACCCAGCCCTAGGAATAATCTGCTTTGTAGCAGAATATTTGAGAGAGAAAGCTGCCCTGAATGTGAATTAAGAGCACCCTTAGTGGAGCCTGAGAATCTTTTGCCATGCACAGAGCGCAGCCAATTTCAGGAGCACACAGATGGGAATGCAGTGAGCCACTGGAATACAACATCTGAAACATGAATGACAAGATTTGAACAGTTGTAGGAGCATTCAGTGCTTGTGGCTGCAAGGAAATGTATTTATCAGAGAAAACTCATGTTAGAATAGAATCACAGAATTTCCTGAGTGGGAAGGGACCCACAAAAATCATCCAGTGCAGTTCCTGTCCCTGCACAGACACCCCAACAACCCCAGCCTGGGCATCCCTGGGAGCTCCTGGAGCTCAGCAGCCTCAGGGATGTGAGCACAGAGCAGGAGCCTGAGAACAGCTCCAGGTGAGTCAGGGAAACCATCCTGCTGAAAACAATTCCTTTAACTGCAAGAAGAGGAAAAATCAAGATTTAAAGAGAGACTCTGATATCACAGGGTTGATCCTTAAGGAGACTTTAAGATCCTTTCTGTGCTCCATTCTTAAGATTGATGATTTTAGGTCAATTTCTTTGACCCTTTTTCACTGAGTATCCTTTCCCTAAATTTTGTGTCTTTCCAGACCATATTCACAAGGTTTTCCTGGCACAAAACCAAGATCAAAATGCTTTTGTCTTTCCACCTGCATTGCTTTCATTCCTTTACTACTGTAGCCAAATACAGCTCAGTTAATTGTGGTTCATATTGAGCAATATTCCAGCAATCCTGCTAAAACTCTGGCTCTTGGATTACCACCTTATCTGATACTTTTCTGTTGGTTTCCCAGGAATTTGCAGAAAACCAGTTGCTGCTTCTTCTTTGACAATTGTTTGCAAACAAACTGATTTTTATGAGAGCATTTCCTTACAACCACTTAACACAATTAAACAAGACACTTCAGGTTACTTCCCCAGAAAACATTTCAATTATTGCTTTAAATATCTATTTACAATAATTCATGTTATTTCTACACTAAAATTCCCCCTTCCCTGATGTGAGGGCTCAGAAGGGCTTTTAAACACTGCAGGCTTTTGGCCACTTTTCTAGTGGAAGCATTCATTTATATAATTATAATTTATATAATTATGTATTGATCGAGCTTTCCCAAATACTGCGAGTAGTGGTCAGACTACCATGCTGAAGACAACATTAATTTGGGGAGAGATTGGTCCTGACAATTGCAACCCATGTTAAAAGGTGCCCACACTTTTGGGATTAGAGAATGCAGAAGCCCATTCTTAACCCTCATTCTTTAAGCTCAGCTTAAGTCTGAGCTAAAGAAAACACAGAGACTGAGGGTGCAAGTTTACAGCTGCTGCAGAAGTAAAAACCTGTAAAGGCAATGCCACATAATATTCACTGATATATTAAATATCATACCAAATACTAAAAACACAAAGAAAAAATACTTGACAATTTTGGAATTTTTAAGCGATGATGTCCAAAAAGGAGAAGGAAATTTCCTCTGTTATTTGTATTTCTTGTTTGTATCAGGGCATTTTCCAAGGGCTGCATTTGTTCCCTGAATGAAGAAATAGGAAGCAGCTGTTGGGGACAGCTCCACTGGGGCTGTGCAGTGCCTGGGGTTGGGACAGACCCCTCTCAGCCTCTCCAAAGAGCTGACAATGTCCTGGCTGTGTTTGCCAACCTGGGAAGCCACAGGCTTAAT